ATGTCATATTAAAGCAAAGTGGCTACAGAGTAATAGGAATCGAACCTTTCATAAAGAATGAAAATCTACCGCACGATTACGTATCCCTCCTAACCGTTGTCACTAAAACGCCTATTCTCGACTTATTTAGGAGAATGAAAAAGGGATCATTTCAAATTTTTCGGATTGTCTACTCGCATAAGCACAAAAGCGACCCGAATCCAACGCAAGCTGTACTTGGCTTACCACCTCTCTAAATTCATGCATCTGAACAGATATTTCTAGTGAAAAATGTATGCGGCATGCGAATTTGCTTACTCGGCTGTTCTTGGACGATGTTGGCGATGCCCTGAAGCACGTTGTAGCACATATTTAGAATGTCCGCTTTCTCGATCCTCTGGTGACGAGCAGGCTGTAAAGGGTCGGCAAAAAAGAAAAAGAGAACAGATGAAAGAATAGAAGAACAAGGAAAAACAAAAATTATATACGATCAACAATTCAATAAGGCTGTAAAGTTATGATGGTCTAGACTCATTTGGCACGCGTCCAAATCCTCAGTCGGGTACCCATGCCAATTTGCCCACTCACCAGACGGTTATCAATCCACCAGCCATAACACCCCAAATATCTCCGTCACCATCAGTTTTCTACAAACATAATCCGTCAGGCCCCACCCCGCATTTCCCGAGGTGAACTCAACTGAAATGTACCAAGGAGAAGAGAGCAAGACAGTTGAGTTGAATTGAGCAGAGCAGAGCTGAGCTGAACTGAACCAAGCCAAGCTAAACCAAACCAAGCTGAGCCGAACTGGCCACCTGCCAGAAAAGACGAGAGCAGCAACCCCGTGCCAAATACCGGTTGCCATGCTGACGCGTAGCAACCGACGCCCCATTCCAATCGGACACGAGGGCGCAATGGGAAAACCCTGGCCTCAACCAACGGCCAACCCGGCAAGGGAGGAGCTAATCCAAGGGGGGGGGGGCAAGGCTGAGGGATAGTTTGCACAAGTGGGGCTAGCCGGCAGATGAAGTGTGTAATGAGGCAGGCGTGTGGACACGCAAATGCTGGTTTGGCAAGCCATGGGGAGGAAAGAGTTAAGAAAAACTGCTCCCTTGATCGGGACGATACAGTATTTGCACCCAGCGGACTGGTTTATTGGTTGCCGAGGCAATGTAGTTGCAGGTCGGAGCTCGTGGCTGATTTGAATTCGGCCGAAATGCTGCCAGTCGTCGGGTGCGAAGAGGCCAAGAGAACAGACGAAAAGCCTCGTGTCATCAAGTGCCCGCCCGACACAACCAGTACCGGACAAACGA